ATAATAATAATAATAATTACAATAATAATAATAATAATAATAATAATAATAATGATGATAATAATAACAATGGCAGTTATACAACATATATCCACGCTCTAGGCTACAGTATGTTCTGTGCACTTTACAACTATCTCTATACCAGCAGACCCTAGAACACATTCTCAGTTTCCTGGGAAGCATACAGCGCAAGCAATGTCAGAACAAATCCTCAAACATAGACAAACTGACAAAGTGTATCACCGTCTTTACCCAAGTGCCCATTCCCACCTGAGTGAAGAGGGGAAAATTCATGTTAAGTGCCTTTCCCAAGGACACAATGTCATATCCCTGTTGGGAGTTCAAACCCACTGCCTTTCGGTAGCAAGCCCAACAGTACAGCCTAACCACAAGACCATCAATGCCACGAAGTGACATTCTGTAGGATGCACACGGTAGCAAATTCTGCCAAAAACCTGGCTCAAAAACAGAGTACTGAACTGACAGAGGCACAGAACAAAGGTAAGCCTACTGTCTGTTTTTGTGTTATTGTGTATTATATTACAACTAGCTGGGCCCCCTCTCCATGAAAGGAATGATCGGTGCATTAACATCAACTGAAAGTCATTGGCCTACTTTATTTACACTCTACTGGAATAGAGCAATAAATTTTGAGAGATGCAAAAAATTAGAAGGTCTAGATCTATACTCTCAAAAACAAAATGCGCCTCGCGAAAGATCACTTCCGGCACTTTCATTGTGAAGGACAGCTATGCAGATTTGTTTCGTTTCTCAGTGGAATAATCAAAAAGGCCAAAAAAGGATGGGAACATTTTGTCAAATATATTTTTCTAAATTCAGGAAACGAATAAATAAAAAATTGGGCTCCGTCATGGGGACCTATCTATCTTTTTGCAGGTACTTGCCAACTTTCAACTCTGTAGCTGTCGTAGTTTTATGGGAAAAGTGACACATGTGTTTCCAAGTTGCCAAATATACGATAGATGATATTTGTGTCACGACATGGTGGAATCAGGCGCTCGTCAATTTTGTTTTTTAGTTTTCATAAGAGTTTTACGGCACTTGCAACACAAAAAGGTCATTTAAGTGCTGAAGATTAGAGGTATAGTAAGAAAGTAACTAACACAAAAAAGAGGAATAAAGAAAAGGACAATAGATGTTTGATCAGATGTTTGATAAGAAAGAAGGAGCAAACCACACCAAAGCACCCCTCAATCACTCATTCAATTGGCTCAATTTCTTGTCTCTCTCTCAAAGCATTCGATTATCTTACAAAAGCTGGGCCCTTCACTGGTCATTCTTTTGATTCACAAACACAGTGTTGTGGATGGTTCTGTCTCATAGTTTCAATACACTAACAAATCACCATGACAAAATAAAGTAATGGAAATTCTCTCAAGGCTCTGAAGTCCCTTGTTCTCACTTAATAATAATAAAATAAATAACATTTGTATAGCGCATATCCCCGCTCGACAGCAAGCTCTACACGCTTTACACTATATTATTACCCCAGCAGACCATAGAACACTCAGAAACATTCTCAGCTTCGCGGGAAGCATACAGTGCAAGCAGCTGAATAAGCGCTCAAACACTAACAAACTGACAAGAACTTTCGCTGTCTATAGCCGGGTACCCATTCCCACCTGGGTGAAGTGAGGAAAACTCGTGTAAAGTGCCTTTCCCAAGGACACAACATCGGGTCCCTGACAGGATTCGAACTCACGACCTTACGGTTTCAAGTCCGAGAGCCTAACCACTAGACCACCGACCCCACTTGCATCCCAAACAACTCACAGCACTCACTCGCAAACATGTGCACTCACATACCGTGAAGTTTGAGCTACTGAGCACACCTGTATATAAGCCACATCCACTAAATCTTTTATAAATCTGAAGTTGTTTCTCAAATAAGCCGCGCTGGTTAATAAGCTGCAGCAGATTATACAACACAGATAATAAGTCTCGAAAAGTACTCATCTGGCTGTTGGACCGCGGTTCTTTGGCGTACGCTAAAAGTGTGTAGTTGAGGAGAATATGTCAATTGTTTTAATGTTTTAGGTGTATGCTAAGAATAGACGAGAAAATGACACTCCTGCAATCGGGAAAATCCACAAATAAACAGCTTTTTTTAGTAACAGTTTTACGGCACTTGCAACACAATAAAGTCATATAAGTGCCGAAGACTAGAGGTGTTACAAGAGAGTAACAAACATAAAAAAGAAGGAGAAGAGATAAAGACGATAGATGTTTGACAGAAAAGAAGAAGCAAACCACACCACAGCACCCGCCAACCATCCACAAATAAACAGCATCGTTGTTTGAGTAGCAATGTTTAAAGCTGAGGAAAAAAGTCGCAGCTTATCACCTGAATTTAATGGAACTAAAGTTTCTTTTAAAAAATAAAAGAGCCAAAAAGTGTAAAAAGCTGGTTTTCTTGCATTTGGAACAAACCTGTTTTCTGAAGAACTCCTCCTGTATAGCTTTGTTCTGTCTCTGCATGCCCATGGGGTTATGCCTTGCCGGACTGCGCTCCCTTTTCCTCTGAGGGGCGGGCTGCACTGGCTTCGGAGCCCGTCCCGCCTCCCCACTCCCAGAATGCCGCTGGTCACCACCACCACTGCTTTTTCCTGAAGAGCGGTGACCGGCATTGACAGAGTCTGGCTGGCTGGGTGGAGGAGACTGACGACTGTGGTGGTTACTCGACGTGCTCTGCGACTTGGAGCGTGGAGAGTTTTTGCTCTCCGCCACTTGGGGAGTCTCTGGGGGTTCGGGGATCACCGGGCGGCTAATTTCAGGGGGTGGTAAACACAACAGCTGTTCCAGAGTCTCCTTATCCTCGAGAGAACTAACCAACGTAAACACACAAGGGAGATGATCCAGGGAGGCCTGGCGGGCCTCAGACATCAAAAACTGCGCTATATTTAGCCGTGTGTGAGCAGCGAGCTCGGGCACCAGAGAGGAAAAGGCTAACACCGGGGGTTCCTGGGGGTACAGGTTCCCCGGGGGGAATCGAACCTCAATGCTGAACGGGCTCTTCTCCTCCTCCTCCAGTACCCGGAGGTTGTCGTAGATCGGGTGCTGATGAGTGGAACTGTCGTCGGATGACGCCGCTGGGCCGCCCCCACGCTCACCCGCCTTACTATCCTGCCGGCTGTGCGAGAATCTGCAGCGATCCTTAAACTTACACGAGCCTTTCAAATAGAACGGGCACACTTTGCGGCTTTTTGGCGGGTTGAGGACTGCTAAACTACGACCCACACTGGCTGCGTCGACTCTGGCACACAAAATCTGCAGCAGCTCGGGTAGCTGCAACTGTAAGCTCCATACCCTGTTGGGAATGCGCTCCTGGAAGGAGGACTCGTAGATAGCCTCTAGCGCCATTTTCTCTTCCTCTCGCGCCTCTTCCGCTTCAGCCATCTTGGAGGCTGTCGAAACCTCATCCTCCTCTTTGTTCCTCCCTGAGAAAGGAGAGTCGTGCGGAGCGGAGAGGAGGAAGAGGTCGTTGAGGAGGTACTCCAGGGCCGAGCCCGTGTCATCATCACACACCTGCAGGGCCTCCTGACACAGTTCACGACTGAAGCCACACCTGCAACATACACACAAATAGACACGTGATACATATGATCACACCTGCAACATACACACAAACAGACACATGATACGTATAATCACACCTGCAACATACGCACAAACAGGCAAATAAATCAGCCTGTGCTATCTTCCTGAGACAGCTCATGACTGAAGCCACAGAGGTGTTACAAGAGAAAAACAAACACAAAAAAAGAAGGAGGGGAGAAAAGGATGATATGTGTTTGAAAAGAAGGTAGGAAGGAGCAAACCACACCAGAGCACACCGCCAACCACCCACACAAAGCCAAAAAAAAAAACCCCAACCACTGAAGTTTGCTGACGGCAAAAACTTCTAACACATCTGATCTGTATTGATGAGAGCTTAAAACACTTACAAAAGACAATAAAAAAAGATATAATACACGATGCCTACAAAGCTGAAATGCCTACCGCTGGAGTTTGCTGATAGCGAAACTGTTCTCGGGTGTGACAGGAACGGCTCCGTGACTGCCGAGGGCCGTTCCCCCGTAGTTGCGAGCCTCCTCGAGCACAAGGGGCCTCTCCGTCATCCAGTACTGGTCCTCCGCACGCACGTCTAGCTCGTCATAGTCAGCTTCTTCATTGTACTCTCTGCCGGATCAGAGGAGTGGAGGAGGAGGATGAGGATGAGGATGAGGAGGAAGATGAGGATGGGAAGGAGTATTTTTTTGGTTTTTGCTTTAAGTAGAGGTTTTTGCGGCGCTTGCAACTGCATAAGGTCACATGAGCGCCAGAAGATTAGAGGTGTTACAAGAGAGTAATAAATATAAAAAACAAGAAGGGGAGATAAGGACGATGGATGTTTGATAGGACACAGCGGATAAAATGCCGTCCAGACCGCTCACTTAGTTTTCCTTCCCCAGTTCCTCCCCGACCATCCTCACCACCCTGCCCGCCCCGCCCGACAGCCCAGCGCGTAGTCATAAATCACTTGTCAGAGGGGTTAATTGGGGTGACCGCAGCGTCACTCCTCCTGTGCCGGGGCAGTAGTAAATATGGCGTTTTAGTGCGAATTGAAAGTCTCCTAACTCTGAAACTATAAATGCTACAAGGCCGATTGAGATTTCATTGTAACGTGCTATGTTTGACCTGTAGGCCGGTATAACTTGTTTTCTTGTAAGTCCGATTATATCAGTTTTACAAGGGATTTAAGTAAGTCTGTGATTTTCAAACTGGCATCTTCAATGTTTAGAACTTTTTCAGTTTGGATTTAGATATATCAATCCGGCCCCCAACGATTTAAACAGAAATTCATGTATCAACTGTGGGGACAATTTTCATTTACATGTGCAAGTTTCAAATGCACGAAGTTATTCTATGATTTTCTGTGATTTTTAAAAAATACCAACCCACCACTCTGAACATTCATCCTTGCTGTTTTTAGTTTTCTTGCCTCTACTACATCAGAATTTCGTTGTCAATTTTAACAATATTTTTGTCATGGAGAGCCACACTCAACATGATCATATGGTGGGCATTGTGCTCAAACATCATCGCCTTCTTGAGGAGGCTGCACATGATATAGATGTACAGCTGGCCCATCAATCTATGGAGAATTGCACGCCTGGAATAGGACAAAATGTGCATATCTACGGCAAAAAATGAAAGAGGGCTGGAAAAAAACGAGGACATTCAATTGTTACAGGGCTGTCAGATTTTGTCGGATAATCCACGAGAAGCAGAGAGATTTGAGAGGAAGGGTTCTAGTGTACATGATCAGCTGTCAGAGTTAGAGTTTGGGGAGCTTATTCCAAGGTCAAGTCCTGCCTGCTCTGAATTTGATAACATCCTCAAACAACACAACCTCACACCACAGGCCTACCACAGCCGTTCATTTATAGGAAGCCACTGCCAAAAATACATCACAGCCCATGTGTACAGACAGCTAGCATCATTTTTAGCAAAAGGAACAGTTGCATGTACACGAAATCAAAGCATAATAGACACCGCATTAATTGTTCTGAGAGAGAAATTTGTTCACGTAAAAGACACCTTCAAAGATATCCAGACAGTAATTGCACATGGAAAGCCAATCACTTTAGAGAGAATACCACATATTCAGTCATGCATCACACGATATATGTCTTTATACAGAAACATATTTGGCAAATAAAAGGTCTTGAGTCGATAGTGCCGTAAAACACGTGCTACTCAATCAAAATCGATCAAAAGAAAAGGTCATCCCCAAACAACACATCCTTGAGAAACACTGCGTTCCTTGGATACAAAAATGTGGGTTTGGAATGGCCTTCCATTGTGAGCAAGGGGGTGATCTCATTCATGCAACCGTGGCCTAACAGACAAAGAAAAACACGTCAAAACAATCATGCAGTCACAACACGTCCAAACCCACCCTGAGCTACTCTGTCGTGTGCACCACCCATCAAAAGACGAAAGCTTACCGCGGAAAAATGAGATAATTCCTCCAGTCCAGCAATATTGTGTTCTTTTTGTATTTTGTGTTTAGGTTGTGTTTTCATAAGTGTATCGGCAAGAAAAGATCTGTTCTGTAGTTACATGTATCGTGGATATCGCTATGAAAAAACAAGGTCGCAAAGCAAGAGTATTGCAAAAATCAACTTCAAACCTGAATAATTACGGATCCAGAAACTTCGTGCATATGCCCCTTTGTCAGTACAAATTTCATTATGTTCTCAGTCCTGTGTGCAAATTTGATTGAATTCGTTGGGGGCAATCATATTTAAATCGATGTTTATAATTGATTACCCATGACACATTTATCAAATTAAGTCCCCTTTTTGAGAACTTCACAGCTTTTAAGTGTAATGTACCATGTTCTTCCGATTTCTTCATTTTCTTCCTTAATATGTTGAATATTTACGTGGTCTTTATTAAAATATTCATCTTACATTAGCTTTGGCTCACTGTGCTGGTAAACTTTGCAAAAAATACAAGAGCGCTGCCGGTGTTCGGCTGATTAGGGAAATCCCCGGCGGCGCAGGTAAATGACCCCGTGACCTGGGGAAGCGCCGGCTTGCTTGCCTCGCGCCAGCCGAAACTAAATGGGCGCTCTATAACCGCTGTGAGGAAAGAAGAAGCAAACCACACCAGTATGAGGAGGAGATGAGGAGGAGGAGTATGAGGAGGAGGAGTATGAGGAGGAGGAGTATGAGGAGGAGTATGAGGAGGAGGAAGAGAAGGAGGAAGAGGGGGAGGAGGAAGAGGAGGAGGAGGAAGAGTCCGACGCGTAAATCACAGCACACAGACATGTGAATTATGACATCACAGCAAATCATAGACACATGACATCACAGACACTTGTTTAGTTTTAGTTTTAGTAAAAGTTTTACAGCACTTGCAACACAATAAGGTCATATAAATGCCGAAGATTAGAGGTGTTACAAGAGAGTAACAAACACAAAAAAGGAGGGGAGATCAAGATGACAGATGTTTGATAGGAAAGAAGAAGCAAACCACACAAACACTTGACTTAACTGTGCATCAGCAGACACATAGCATTAAAGTTCATTATAGACACACGACACATCAAAACACATCATCACAGAACATACACACACACACATGACATCACAACACATGACAGAATACACACATGACATCACTGGGTTTTTTTAGTTTTAGTAAGAGTTTTACTGCACTTGCAACACAATAAGGTCATATAAGTGCCAAAGATTAGAGGTGTTACAAGGGAGTCACAAACACAAAAAAGAAGAAGGGGAGATAAAGACAACAGATGTTTGATAGAAAAGAACACACAAGACATCCCAGCACATCACAGAACACACACACATGACAGAACACACACACACATGACAGAACACACACACATCACAGAACACACACACATCACAGAACACATAAACGTGACATCATGACATATAACAGAACACACACACATGACATCACAGCACATCACAGAACACACACACACACATGACAGAACACACACACATGACATCACAGAACACACATCACAGAACACACACACATGACATCAGAACACACACACTGAGCACACACACACACTGAGCACACACACACATGACATCACAGAACACACATCACAGAACACACACATACATGACATCAGAACACACACACATGACATCAGAACACACACACTGAGCACACAGACACAACGACTCCCGTACTCATCTATGTCCTCGTCGTTGTCCCCTTCCATGCCGGCGTGTAAAGAAAGCAGCGTCGCCCGCACCAGCTCCTGGTTCTCGGGGCTCATGTACAAATGTTGCATCTCAACCTTGACCTTTGAGTGAGACCCTCGACCCCGAGCACTGCTGAAAGCAAAGATAAAAATAAAGAATAACCTCCCCGATTTTTACTTTTAGTAAGCGTTTTACGGCACTTGCAACACAATAAGGTCATATAAGTGCTGAAGATTAGAGGTGTTACAAGAGGGTAACAAACACACAAAAAATGGGGGGGGGGGGGAGATAAAGACGATAGACGTTTGATAGGAAAGAAGAAGCAAACCACACCAGAGCACCCGCCAACCAACCACTGATTTTTGCTGGTGAAAGTAAAGTATAAGCCCCTTCTTCTTCACTCATCACAACAAATACTGCCTGTTGTCTCGTGTTCCTGTCAGACATAACAACAGCAAAAGTAAAGTACAGCCCCCTCCCTCCAATTGCTTCCATTTTTGGACATCATAACAATCACAGCTGTTTCCTGTTCTTGTAACACATATCTAGCTGCAAGCCCATTGCGACACCCGAGTTGACCCCAGGCGTTCCCCACTTATTCAGGCAGTTTGAAATGTACTTTACTTTCACAAAAACAAGATTCCAGACCAGTATACAATGTCTTTCATTTAGTTTTAGTAAGAGTTTTACGGCACTTGCAACACAATAAGGTAATAAGTGCCGAAGATTAGATGTGTTACAAAAGAGTAGCAAACACAAAAAAGCAAAAAAGATGGAGGGGAGAGAAAAAAAAGTAAGAACAACCAGTGGCACCCTCCAACCACCCGCACACCAGAGAAACAGAAGAGCATATATAAATATATAATGTACACATACATATGTATCACATTCAGCACCAACCTTGATCCAGCTGACCCAGTGTCATTTGACCTTGAAGTGCCTGATCCTGCACCAGCCGACCTTCCACCTGTCGACCTTGAACCCATTGACCTTCCACCAGTTGACCTTCCACCAGTTGACCTTCCACCCGCTGACCTTCCACCCGCTGACCTTCCACCCGCTGACCTTCCACGGGCTGACTTTGGCTGTGAGTTGTACCCGCCGTCCCAGTCATCATCATCGTAGTAGCCACCAACCACCGGGCCATCCACCGAGTCATCCAGATCCAGACCGCCCTTTCTAGAAGACGACCAGCCACCCCGACCTCGGCCCCCACCATCTCCTGGAAACAAACATGGGGCCAGCATTTCTGTCACATAAGTCGTCTCCGCCATTAAAGTCATTAATTCAGTTATAAATCAAAATTACCAGTGATTTAAGTCAGTCACCCTGGTGATTCAACAGTTACCTCAGTCATCTTCATCATTAAAAGTCATCTTAGTCAGTAAAGCCACCTCAGTCACTCAAGTCATCCCAGTCAATAAAGTAATGTAGGTCCCTCTCTGCTGGATGTTATATAACCCTCTCAGCCCGGGTTGGCCCTGACAGGCAGGGTCGGAAGCCTGCCTCCTAAATAATCTAAATTGTGTTAATAGAGGCGTAAAGTCATCCATAGTTGTGGGTTTTTTTTTAATTTTAAGTCATCACATCTATTAAAGTTACCCTAGCGAATAAAGTCATCTTGTACGTTAAACGCTTACTAAAACTTAAAAGTTATCTTGGGAATGAAAGTCAGTCATTAAAGTCACCCCAGTCACATCAGTTTTTCACTTTACCCAAGTCACTTCTCTATCTTTAGTTAGACAGCTTATATATATGTCCTGTTCAAAGAGAAACATTTTTACACAAAAGAGTCATTTATTGTGGAGATAAAGCTAGAAAGACAGACAGAAACAACCAGGAAAGAAAATAAATAAGCACTGCCTTCCAGTGGCACCTTCCAACCACCCTCACCTCAATATTTAGTCCCCTCAGTCACGAAATAACAATGATGTGACACAAGGTAAAGAGCAATCAGCTTGCAAGAATCACTGAGCCTATATATCTGTACACAAAGATTATTGTGAGGAAATTATAACATTCTGTGTATAAAACAAAATTTTATTTGAAGTTCTGTTAACTTTAATTATAACTTCTCAACTGCTATTCCTAACAGCTCACAACAACACAAAGACAATAATGTAAAAACTACACCGAAATAAATCAAAAACTGTCTCAAACTGAAAACACACCACAGAAAGAATGCAATAATCAAGAGACATAAAAAAAAATAATCTTAAGCAAAGGGCATCATTTTTATTTCTGAGAATTACAAGTGATATTTTCAGAGATCATGAGCATGCAACTGTGAGCATCTGCAGAACAGCATCGGTTTTTTTTTTACCCTAGTGGCCAGCTAGTACAAGATAGATAAGATAAGAGATAAGATAACACTTTATTATCCCAGAGGGAAATTTTTCTCGGCTGTACAGGACCGTAAAAACACAAGCAGGTATACATTAAAAAATGTAATTATATATTACTCTCATTAAAATTCAATATGAAAAGAGAAGAAAAGCGGACAAAATGTACATTCTCATCAGATGCATCATTCAACCACATGCAGGAATTTAATTACAAGACCTTTGGAGTTCTATATCTAGATATATACTCTAAAGAGCAATACACATCTATGCTCATCCTGACAATTTAAGCCTTATATCTAGAGTATATAGATACACATACTCTAAAGAGCAATACACATCTATGCTCATCCTGACAATTTAAGCCTTATATCTATAGTATATAGATACACATACTCTAAAGAGCAATACACATCTATACTCATCCTGACAATTTACGCCTTATCTAGAGTATATAGATACACATACTCTAAAGAGCAATACACATCTATGCTCATCCTGACAATTTAAGCCTTATCTAGAGGGTAAAAAAACTTCTTTTATAGGGTGGCTGCGATCACTGACAAGATGCTACAACTTGAACTAACCTCTGCCGCGTCCACCGCCGCGCCCACCGCCACGCCCACCAACGCCTCTCCGGTTGTGACGCCCCCCACCACGGTTGGGCTTTCCACCTTTTCTCACAGTCGTCCTCTCCATCGCCACCTCACACTCGTCCTTCGTTTAGACCATTACACTCTGCAAACTTCCAGTCACGTAAAAAAGAAAGGTTTGTTAAGTTACATGGTATAAACCTATATATTACTACACCTAGGCCTCTATAAAAGAAAAAGAAAGAAGAAAAGAAGAAAAAAATGAAAGTGAAGAAAAGAGTTTGGATTGCATAATTATTAAACTAGTTAACACGATTTAACGCCCTCGCCCATTTGATCTGAATAATTTACAACCCTTCTACCGTCAAGCAAGAGCATTTTGTCTCGTGCTCGTGTCTCGTTACATTCGAACATGCTCTCTGTTCTTTGAACCATAATTTATTGTGTGCAGGCAGAGAGTGAGAGGCCTGCCATGCCATCGTTAAGTGTGTAAACAACGAATGGTCCACTGGTGGCCGGTACCACACCCCGCGCAGTAGCGTCAGTAGTGAGAGATATTTTTTACTGGAGAGGCGAAAAATGTTTTAACTTATTATCATTCTATTTGTTGTTCATCTAAGATTTAATTTAGCAAATATCTGGTTGAGATTATCATATCTGTTTCAAAAGTCTGCATCGTAATTTTCCATATATTCCCAGGGCCATATATATCCTGACTTTAATTCTGTAAGAGCGCTCCTTCATCTCATGGGACGGAACGCTTGAAGCAGACCGAACTATTACATTTAAAAAATGAAAGTGGCTATTCTCACCCGGGGTGAGAATAAATACGATCGACCTCTCACCCCGGGTGAGACTTGCCACCGTAGGCTATTCTCACCCGGTGTGAAACAAGACCTGTTTTTCCTAATTTCGGAATACTTTCTATCGATGTGGATGATCAAATGGATAAAGGCAAAGAAAAGATTACGTTATAGCACAAAAGTAAGCTAATTTTATCGACTACAAAGATGCTATGGCTATTTCACTTTTCGAATCGAGCTGAACTACGGGGGTCGCCATTATGTTTTGCCCGGAAGTTCTCGCAAGATCTACTCCTCCCCTCTTCTTCTCTCTCTGTCTCTTTCTGAATCTGTCTATCGGTGTGGACGATCAAATTGACCAAAACAAAGTTTTAAAATGATGGTAAAACACAAAAGTAAATCAATTTGGTCGTCAACAAAGATGCTACGGCTATTTAACTTTTTGAATCGAGCCGAACTACGCGGGTCACCATTTTGTTTTGCCCGGAAGTTCTCGCACTACTCCTCCTCTCTCTTTCTCTCTCTCTCTCCACTGCCCACAGACAAAATTGTACGCTTTTCACTTTTAGTTTTAGTAGGCTAACATACTTAGACGACTTAGTAATGGAACGTTTGTTCACGGCACAGAATTCTACAATTTTTCTGCTATCACAGTGTAGAATTCTGTGGTTGAGGGTGAACGCAAAATTGGTTGGCCTAGATCTAGGCTATAACGGTGAACGTGCACCGGGTGAGAATAGCCAAAAGACTCACCTGCACTATTCTCACCCGGGGTGAGAATAGAGGTGGCCTTAAAAAATATAGATCTAGATCTAGAATCTACATATCACTGTCGATGTTCAGGTGGGGGGGGGGGAGAGAAATAGCGGGAGCTATTCTCACCAGGGGGACCAAAAGTAATACACTCGTTACTTTCCATTAGACCATCCCACACTTCAAGATTCCTGTAAAATAGGAAGGACTTCCGAAGAGGCCTAGACCTAACCCTAACCCTACCCCTAACCCTACCCTTACCCCTAACCGTGACCCCTACCCCAAGCCCTCAATTTTGCTCTGTCTCATAGATCTAGTGGTCGCTCGTTACGGAAGTCCTCCTGGCTTTTTTTTTTTTACGAATTGTAATTGAGCGATGGTACTACACTCGAAGTTGCAGAGAATAGTACAATCGGGAAAAGATATCATTTTGAAAGTTCTAAAAAAAAATCAAAGGATTAGATCTAGATTCTATAGATCTAGACTATACCTCAGCAGCACAAGAGAATAGAAAGAAAGAAATCCAACAGCAAATCAAGCAATTAATATCGTGTTGACTGAGTCTTGATTTCACTGGTGAATGAAATCCAAGAAGTTGCAGATTGCTTTTTTTTCAAATTATTCTAATTAGACTTAAAACAGTTTTAGCAGTTCAACGTTTCATTTCATTCTGTTTCATTTCCTGGTTGTGCTTCCAATAAAAGAAGAGTACGATTGAAACCTGCCCACTTTGTTGTGGTACAAAATAGTCCTTCCATCAACGAACAACGAGGGTATTATGCTCAGGCCTGTCGAGAGGGGGGGGTCA